TGATTAATCTGTCTTCGTTTACACTCAGCAAACTACAAACTGAAGCTCTTGCTTACGGATTAAAGTTCTGCGTAAAACCTAAACAAATCAACCCCCATCGAGTCACAAGCTCAATTTGAAATGTTCTTTGATCAGCTGTCGACATTGACCCCGTCGTCTACCGATTCGGTTGGGTTGGTTAAAAGCTAGATTGGTGGATTTGGAACATCAGTACCGCACATCCCAGTCTAAGCAAAAGTGTCCATTATCTAAAGAGCATATTATTGCTCTGAAAACATTAAAAGCCAACGAACAATTAATAATACTGAAACCAGACAAAGGAAATGGTGTAGTTCTGATGGACAAGTCAAACTATCAAACCAAAATGGAAGAAATATTATCTGATCAATCAAAATTTCTGCTGGATTCCAAAGTAAATTACGTTAATAACATGGAAGCGAAAATGAAGAAAGTAATCAAATCACTCTTGGCAGGAAAATTCATCAGCGAAGCTACCGCTAAGATGCTCACACCGTGTGGCTCACTAATACCGCAGTTGTATGGTCTTCCAAAAGTACACAAACCTGGAATGCCCCTTAGGCCCATCCTGTCAATGATAAACTCAGCTCAACATGGTTTAGCTAAATGGCTAGCGGAATTACTAAAACCAGTACGACAATCATTTGAGCCCAAAATACTCAAAGATTCATTTGAACTGGCAGAAATACTGGACACAATGAATGTAAATCAAAAATACATGGCATCAATGGATGTAACATCACTATTTACAAACGTGCCCTTGGAAGAAACCGTGAAAATTATATGTGACCGTATAGAAAATAAACATCTGCAGGTAGGTTTACCTATTTCAAAACTTGAGGAACTTTTAATGTTGTGCACTTCGAACATCAATTTCAGTTTTCTAAAGCAGTCTTACCGCCAGATTGATGGTGTGGCCATGGGAAGCCCTCTAGGCCCTATTTTAGCGGACATCTTTATGGCACACTTGGAGGAACAGATGTCTTTGGATATTGATAGTTTAGTATTTTACCGACGTTACGTTGATGACATATTTATCATCGCCACTAACAAACAACAGGCAGAGTCGTTTCACACCAAAATGAATCAAATGCACAAAAACATCACTGTGTCCCTACAACATGAAAGTAGTAACACTTTGGCCTTTTTAGACATTTTAATCAGACGTAGAGATGATGGTACTATTGAAAGGTCAGTTTTTTCGTAAAGACACTTGGACGGGCCAATACATCCATTTCAACAGTTTTGCACCTTTGCAATACAAACGTGGTCTAGTGAGGACATTATTCCACCGTGCTAGGAAGATTTGTTCCATCGACACGCTACAAGCTGAGTTTGATACGATTAAACAAACACTGCTTTCTAATGGATATCCAGGTGGCTTTATTAAGTGCCATTGCCAGCCGCCTAAACCAGTTACCTTAGAAATGTCGGTGCCAAAAAAAACTAGCCTATATACATCTAACGTTTCGGGGAGACGACGTCATGCAACGTATATATGACCGACTCAAAACAGCAGTCCGTCAAACCTTTTACGCAGCCATGCCTGTTATGAGATTTAAAACCACCAGGATTCCTACACCACCAGTAAAAGAACCAGTGTCGACGTACGCCAGATCTAACTGTATATACCAATTTAAATGCACCTGTAACGCTGCATATGTGGGCAGAACTGATCGACGACTGGAACAACGGGTTGCTGAACATATTCCACTATGGTTGGTAAAAGCAATGCAGAACACTAACACCTCAACAACAACGAATCAGGTAACTTGTCGAAATAATCCATCATCAGCAATTGCGTGCCATATTCTAAATTCCGGGCACATCATTAACAGGGATGATGCATTCCGAATTATTTACAGTTCGGCTAACCGTAGATTACTTCGATACGCGGAAGCTTCAGCGATTGGCAGATTGAAACCGGAACTTTGTAGGCAAAAGGAAATGGTCGTTGCCCTACGTTTACCTTGGTGAAACAGTTTGAAATCTACTCGAATTTGTGTTTCAGTTTCTAGGATTCAGCTATTTGCTTCATTTTAATTAATTGTTACTGAAGTATGCACCTGATGAGATACAGCGAAATATGCCAGGCAATAAATTGTGCAGTCTATTGTTTGTGTCTTCTTTGTTCAAATTTACAACGGGGAAACATTGCTTTGATTATTTGAAACGTCGCCTCCCACAATCAACTGTGAAGCGACTGGATGGATTATTTAAACTGAAATGCAAAAATCGCAGTACAGGATTGTCGGTTACGGTTTCTTGGAGAATGCCTTACATCTGGAATATTTCCTCACCGTTATCTTAGATCGCTGAGAGCTGAGAAAATCTGCCCAACGGTACGAAATTTGAGGCGAATGACGAAAAATTACATAGAAGAAATCCAATCGAAATTGATCAATCTAAGGCGAATTCACAGTTCGGCCTACAGTATTACTAACGATCTGACTTTGTATTGTTATTTAAAGTTCACAAAGTTTTGTATTGAAACATTGGGTAAAGTGAAAATTCAAGAAACTACACGTTTAAAGAAGTCATTGAGTTCGGAAAAGATTACCACTTCTGTGCTTGACAATGCTGAGAAAACATGTGATTAATCTGTCTTCGTTTACACTCAGTAAACTACAAACTGAAGCTCTTGCTTACGGATTAAAGTTCTGCGTAAAACCTAAACAAATCAACCCCATCGAGTCACAAGCTCAATTTGAAATGTTCTTTGATCAGCTGTCGACATTGACCCCGTCGTCTACCGATTCGGTTGGTTGGTTAAAAGCTAGATTGGTGGATTTGGAACATCAGTACCGCACATCCCAGTCTAAGCAAAAGTGTCCATTATCTAAAGAGCATATTATTGCTCTGAAAACATTAAAAGCCAACGAACAATTAATAATACTGAAACCAGACAAAGGAAATGGTGTAGTTCTGATGGACAAGTCAAACTATCAAACCAAAATGGAAGAAATATTATCTGATCAATCAAAATTTCTGCTGGATTCCAAAGTAAATTACGTTAATAACATGGAAGCGAAAATGAAGAAAGTAATCAAATCACTCTTGGCAGGAAAATTCATCAGCGAAGCTACCGCTAAGATGCTCACACCGTGTGGCTCACTAATACCGCAGTTGTATGGTCTTCCAAAAGTACACAAACCTGGAATGCCCCTTAGGCCCATCCTGTCAATGATAAACTCAGCTCAACATGGTTTAGCTAAATGGCTAGCGGAATTACTAAAACCAGTACGACAATCATTTGAGCCCAAAATACTCAAAGATTCATTTGAACTGGCAGAAATACTGGACACAATGAATGTAAATCAAAAATACATGGCATCAATGGATGTAACATCACTATTTACAAACGTGCCCTTGGAAGAAACCGTGAAAATTATATGTGACCGTATAGAAAATAAACATCTGCAGGTAGGTTTACCTATTTCAAAACTTGAGGAACTTTTAATGTTGTGCACTTCGAACATCAATTTCAGTTTTCTAAAGCAGTCTTACCCGCCAGATTGATGGTGTGGGCCATGGGAAGCCCTCTAGGCCCTATTTTAGCGGACATCTTTATGGCACACTTGGAGGAACAGATGTCTTTGGATATTGATAGTTTAGTATTTTACCGACGTTACGTTGATGACATATTTATCATCGCCACTAACAAACAACAGGCAGAGTCGTTTCACACCAAAATGAATCAAATGCACAAAAAAACATCACTGTGTCCCTACAACATGAAAGTAGTAACACTTTGGCCCTTTTTAGACATTTTAATCAGACGTAGAGATGATGGTACTATTGAAAGGTCAGTTTTTCGTAAAGACACTTGGACGGGCCAATACATCCATTTCAACAGTTTTGCACCTTTGCAATACAAACGTGGTCTAGTGAGGACATTATTCCACCGTGCTAGGAAGATTTGTTCCATCGACACGCTACAAGCTGAGTTTGATACGATTAAACAAACACTGCTTTCTAATGGATATCCAGGTGGCTTTATTAAGTGCCATTGCCAGCCGCCTAAACCAGTTACCTTAGAAATGTCGGTGCCAAAAAAAACTAGCCTATATACATCTAACGTTTCGGGGAGACGACGTCATGCAACGTATATATGACCGACTCAAAACAGCAGTCCGTCAAACCTTTTACGCAGCCATGCCTGTTATGAGATTTAAAACCACCAGGATTCCTACACCACCCAGTAAAAGAACCAGTGTCGACGTACGCCAGATCTAACTGTATATACCAATTTAAATGCACCTGTAACGCTGCATATGTGGGCAGAACTGATCGACGACTGGAACAACGGGTTGCTGAACATATTCCACTATGGTTGGTAAAAGCAATGCAGAACACTAACACCTCAACAACAACGAATCAGGTACTTGTCGAAATAATCCATCATCAGCAATTGCGTGCCATATTCTAAATTCCGGGCACATCATTAACAGGGATGATGCATTCCGAATTATTTACAGTTCGGCTAACCGTAGATTACTTCGATACGCGGAAGCTTCAGCGATTGGCAGATTGAAACCGGAACTTTGTAGGCAAAAGGAAATGGTCGTTGCCCTACGTTTACCTTGGTGAAACAGTTTGAAATCTACTCGAATTTGTGTTTCAGTTTCTAGGATTCAGCTATTTGCTTCATTTTAATTAATTGTTACTTAAGTATGCACCTGATGAGATACAGCGAAATATGCCAGGCAATAAATTGTGCAGTCTATTGTTTGTGTCTTCTTTGTTCAAATTTACAACGGGGAAACATTGCTTTGATTATGTAATTTTTGACTTTTTCAATTTGGATGTTTTTTCTAGATCTTTTCCACGCAGATTTAGATCTTTTTAGATATTTTTTGACACCGTTTTGAATATTTTTTGTCAAAGAAAAGTGGCAACACTGGTCGTGAAACCTGATGATGATGGCTGGTGTCTGACTGCTGGCTCCTCGCTCCGCCGTTGTCGTTGTTGTTCTTGTCAACATGGACCAGGTCCCGATCATTACATGGACTCAGAAACTGGTCTTGTACGAAACGAAATCGGTAATCTTCACGTTTTGTAGTCATCTTTTGCTGTAATCTGCCAGGGTAAGCCGTCAGTCGATACACATACAGCGACTCTGTTGAGGCGACCAGGACAGCGGGTAGCGACTATATTAAAAAAACTCTCAATGATTAAATTAATGAGGCCCGATACCCGTTGTGGTTGTTACTTACTTCAACTCGGATTAAGTTAATCAGTCCTACATTCCTACTGACTCAACCTACTCTGACATAGTTAATATTTATTATTTACTGATACTGGGAAGTAAAGGCGACCGGTGTGATGCTGACCACATAACCCACCAATTGCCAATTAGTCCATGAAATTATGGGTCTAGCCCTGTATTCTCAATACGCCTAAAGGCGTGAACAAAGGACCTAACTTACCTTATTAATACTAATCATCATCATCAGTTCTCGTTGTGCCTAGTGGCACATGAGGCTTCAGAGAGGACTTTCCATGCTTTCCTGTCCTGTGCAATCTTCAGTGCAGTTTTCCATGTCAAAGATGCCGCACTCAGGTCACTTTCCATCTTTCATCTCCATGTTGTTTTTGGGCGCCCCTGTTTTCCCTTTCCCTCTGGTGTCCACATGAGAGCTGTTTTGGCAGGTATATCAGGATTCATTCTCATAATGTGGCCTAGCCATTTCCATCTTCTCTTGGTTATCATATTGTGTAAAGGTTTGTGACTTGAAGTAGTTTAGTGTTTGAGATTGTATCTGGCCAGAAAATTTTGATAATTCTACGTAGACATGTGTGGTGGAAGGTAGACAGCTTGTGTGCATCCTTTTTGGTCATTCTCCAGCATTCTGCTCCATAAAGAAGAACTGGCAAAATGATGCTCTTGTACAGTCGGAGTTTCGTTCCTCTGCAGTTACTTTTGGATTTCCAGATTTGCCTCATCCTTCCAAAAGCAGCTCTAGCTTTGTTCAGACGTGACTGTATGTCCTCTTTGGTCTCTCCCGGCAGGGACACCACACTGCCAAGATATGTGAAATGTTCTACATTTTCAAGTTTTTGGCTATTTATGATCACAGGTTGTTGGTTTGGACTGTCTGTCATGATCTTAGTTTTCTTTGTATTTATTCTCAGTCCCACCATTTCTGCTGTGCTGTGTAGTCTGTTACTTTTTTCTTGTATATGTTCATGTTTATGTGATAGGAGTGCTATATCATCTGCAAAATCAAGGTCCTCAAGTACGGTGAATGGAGTCCATTGTATGCCTCTCAATGTCCTGTCTACTGTGTTCTTTAGTATCCAATCAATCACAAGGTTGAAGAGGAGAGATGACATAACACATCCCTGTCTTACACCTCTCTTTACTGGGAGAGATGTTTTGTAATTTTTTTATACTGCAGGAAAAGTCTTTATAGAAGAGAGCAATTATGTTGACTGTTTTTTTATGGAATTCCATAATATCGTAAAATTTAATATATATACTTCTCTGCCATTCATTGCATTGTTCTAAAATGTTACATAGGGTAAAGATGTGCTCAGCTGTTACTCTGCCCTTTCTGAATCCCGCTTGTTCCACTCGTAGGCATTTATCCACTCCTTTTTCCAGCCGCATTATGATGATTTACAAAATATTTTGCTCTGTACTGAGAGTAGAGTAATTTCCCTTAAATTATTGCAGTCTGTTAAATCTCCTTTTTTGGGGATTTGGACTATTGTTTCTTTAGTCCAGTCATCAGGCAACACTTCCTGTTCCCAAATATCCTTAAATATTGGTTTTAGAATGCTAGCAGTTGTGTTGGGATCTACTTTGAGAAGTTCTGCTGGCAGTTCGTCTTTGCCTGGTGCTTTGTTGTTCTTTAAAGTGTGGATAGCTTTAAGGATTTCTTGTTTGCTTGGTGGTTCAGTAATAATGTCAATGTCCTGAGAGGCTGGTTGAATATCTGGGGAATATTCAGGATCAGATCTATTCAAGAGGTTAGAGAAGTGTTTAGTTCACTGCATATTTTGTTTGTGTTCTATGGTAAGCAGTTTGCCTTGGTTATCTCTGATATTAATACTAATACTGCTTAATTAATATCAGTATTGTAATAAGATCATCCGTTTACATACATCATTGTTATTTTATCTACCATCTGTTGGGAATAAGTAAAAGTAAAAAGTAAAGATCCATTTACACACCCTTAGGTGCATCAGGCATATGGGAAGAGCACCCATATTTTTACAGACCAATCGGCACTCGGTGGGTTATGTAGTCAGCATTACACCGGTTGTTTTTACTTTCCCAGGACAGCCCATCCTGGTACCCATTTGAGGCTGGGTCGACCTGCGACGTCCCATACCATGATAAAAATCCAAGCAGCCCTCAGTGGGTTTTGATCGCGATACGTTGAATTGCGAGTCAGACTCGCAACGCCTTGTATGTTGGGAATAGGCCTATTTAAATCAATATTCTGGACACGTTTTGTCAGGCACTGTTCTTTTAGTCGTCGAGTAGGATGGTGAGTAACCGTTTGGAGCATTAAGTTACACATCAGTCAGTAGGATGGTGAGTAACCGTTTGGAGCATTATGTTACACATCAGTCAGTAGGATGGTGAGTAACCGTTTGGAGCATTATGTTACACATCAGTCAGTAGGATGGTGATGAACTGTTTGGAGCATTATGTTACACATCAGTCAGTAGGATGGTGATGAACCGTTTGGAGCATTATGTTACACATCAGTCAGTAGGATGGTGAGTAACCGTTTGGAGCATTATGTTACACATCAGTCAGTAGGCTGGTGAGTAACCGTTTGGAGCATTATGTTACACATCAGTTAGTAGGATGGTGAGTAACTGTTTGGAGCATTATGTTACACATCAGTCAGTAGGATGGTGATGAACTGTTTGGAGCATTATGTTACACATCAGTTAGTAGGATGGTGAGTAACTGTTTGGAGCATTATGTTACACATCAGTCAGTAGGATGGTGATGAACTGTTTGGAGCATTATGTTACACATCAGTAAGTAGGATGGTGATGAACCGTTTGGAGCATTATGTTACACATCAGTCAGTAGGATGGTTAGTAACCGTTTGGAGCAATATGTTACACATCAGTCAGTAGGATGGTGATGAACTGTTTGGAGCATTATGTTACACATCAGTCAGTAGGGTGGTGATGAACCGTTTGGAGCATTATGTTACACATCAGTCAGTAGGATGGTGAGTAACCGTTTAGAGCATTATGTTACACATCAGTCAGTAGGATGGTGAGTAACCGTTTGGAGCATTATGTTACACATCAGTCAGTAGGATGGTGAGTAACCGTTTGGAGCATTATGTTACACATCAGTCAGTAGGATGAGCACTCTTTGTTGTACAGGGCCAGCTTTTGACACAATGGACTTTATTTATTATCAAAGGTCACAGACTTGGCACACATAGGGCTGGCAGTCGAATCAGTCTTTCTTCGTTCATCTGAGTGTATCTCTTGGACACACTCTTTTCCTTAGTCAATTTGTTTCAGTGCTAGTTTGGGTGTCGACTGTTAGTGCTTGTTTGGGGACTGTCTACTTCTCCTATGTATAAGGAGGGGGGGAGGGGTATCATAACCATCATCTGTCGGCACTGCACACTGTAAATTGCTTTAATAATGCTTATTATTGTCACTGTGATACAATAACCATCATTTGTCGGCACTGCACACTCTGTAAATTGCTTTAATAATACTTATTTTTGTCACTGGGATACAATAACCATCATCTGTCGGCACTGCACACTCTGTAAATTGCTTTAAAAATGTTTATTATTGTCACTGTGATACAATAACCATCATCTGCCCACTAATACATTTTCTACTGATTTGCATATTTTGGTGGAACAGATTGACTTTTTGTGTGTGCTTCATAATATGTCCAAGCCTTATTACATTAGCTGAGGGAGACAGACCATCTATCTGGTAATCTGGTAATTTTAATTTCAGCTTCATAGCAAAGAGGTCACCCCATCTTTGCTCCGCTCCTGTGCCAACGAAAAACACACAGAATGTTTATCACAGTCCCTTGTGGAAAGACTGACAAACTGCTTTCTCAGCAAATCTAGCATACACTCGCATTAAAAGCATATGGTAGCCATCCGAAGTGCTAACACAAACAGTCTAACGTTAGAAATGAAGTTCATCATTGATGGTAGCAGAAGTCACCAAAAGATCAGCAGTTGCACACACGATTAATTTTAATCAAATAATGGCCCCACTAATATTGCGACAACTGGCATCGCGCCATTTTCTGAATCTACAAATCACAGCACCACGTTGGTCAGTCGAAAAACATTTGAATGAAATCCGCAGCTCACAGTGTCACGCCATGCACTCAACTCAGAAGCTGGGTAACGAAACTATATACTTCCAGTCTACAAATGGAGCAAAAAAGCAACGGCTACAGTCTGGCAGAAGCAAAAAAATTTTGCCTCGGCTCAAAACAGTGGCAGTGCCTAGTGTTCATTTGGACCTGAAGCATTATGTGAGGGTTAATAAACTGTCACCCCAGCAGCACCCTACTATTAGCTGGGGAAGGAATTTAGGACATTACATCCACCAGCAAGCATCGCCCCAACAACGACCTGACTGCCTTCGTTAACGACTGTTCACCCAACAGCCATGCAGTTCTTTGGCACGAAGGAGACACCTTGAACTTGGGTTTTGGACTGCCGACTCCCTACACAAAGATATATGTGTGCTACTGGTGTCCCATAGCCAAAATACTATCTCACTGTATTACTAAAATTCAGCACGCATACTCAAACGCGCAGTAGTTCACACCCACACACACACACACACACACTCATTACCTGCCACCCGCTTGCTTGCTGGTGCAGCACACATGACTACATATTTATATAAGTATATATATATATATATATATATATATATATATATATATATATATATATATATATATATATATATATATATATCGGGAGAGGGAGAGAGTGAGATAAGGGAAGAATCATGCCGAATGACCATAAATGTGTAAGACACTGACACAGGGAATTCCCTATGCACACAAGGTCAGTATTACTGGCTCCAAGAAGGGGACAGTAAATTCAAATGGCTCAGTCAGATCAGATACAGTCCCTGCTGTGACAGAAAGTTGGCTGTAATAAAGGACTGCCGTAGAAAGGTGCACCCAAGGGACGGTTTCATCTATGAGTTGGGTAGGCTGGTGATGAAGATAGTAAGTTTTGGCCTCAGCGTGTGAGCATGAAAGTTGATGTGTTGACCTGATGGTACCTTGAAGTTGTTTAATACAGCACAGTAGGGCTGATGTGAGGCCTGGTTCTCTTCCACAGCGCTACTATGTTGTGGGCTCCAACAAATCTGAGAGCCGTTTCCGAGTGTTGAAGATTGACAGGACAGAACCTAAAGAGCTTCATATTCATGATGACAAGGTGAGGAAGTTTGTCTGTCATGTGTTGTTGATTGTTTTGATCATTTTTCTGTGTGTTCTGTCACAGACACAGGGGTCACTCACACTAACTGCAAACAACATTAGACTTCTGTGCAGACTCTAGTCTTAAGTGTAGACAACATGTGACCTCAGTGCAGACTCTAGTCTTGACTGTAGACAACATATGACATCAGTGCAGACTCTAGTCTTGACTGTAAACAACATATAACATCAGTGTGTGCTCTGTTCTTGACTATAAACAACATATAACATCAGTGTGTGCTCTGTTCTTGACTATAAACAACATATGACATCAGTACAGACACTGTTCTTGACTTTAGACAACAATTGATTTCAGTGTAGACTCTAGTCTTGACTGTAGACAATATATGACATCACTGTGTACTCTAGTCTTGACTGTAGGCAACGTATGTCGCCACTGAGCAACTCTAGTCTTGCCTCACAGGCATTCGTATCTGATCGACTTTCAGAGTTTATAGATTTATTACAGCCTCAGTGAGATTCCTATCCTGATTGACTTTCACTGTGTTTATAGATTAAGTACAGCCTCAGTGAGATTCCCATCCTGATTGACTTGTAGCATGTTTGTAGACCGAGTACAGCCGCAATGAGTTTCCCATCCTGATCGATTTGTACCATGTTTCTAGATTGAGTACAGCCTCAGTGAGATTCCCTTCCTGATCTATTTGTACCATGTTTTTAGATGAGTACAGCCTCAGTGAGATTCCCATCCTGATTGACTTGTACTATGATTGTGGATTAAGTACAGCTTCAGAAAGATTCCAACCTTGATTGACTTGTGCCATAGTTGTAGATTGAGTACAGCCTACATGAGATTCCTATCCTGATTGACTTGTACCATGTTTCTAGATTGAGTACAGCCGCAGTGAGATTCACAGTGTCCTGTCCATGGTGGATGGAGGCAATACCTTCAAGAAGCAAAGTAACAATTCCAGTGGCTTGTCCAAAAACATCTCAGCATTTGGTATTGCAGGCAAGATTTGTGCTGTTCTTGCTGGCTATCTGACTCTAGTTTATACTGAATCTTAACTGTTGACTGACTCACCTGTAGAAATAATCCATTGTTGATTATCTTATATCTGGAAATAATCCTATGTTGAATATTTTATATCTGGAAATAATCAAGTGCTGACTGTCTCATGTCTGGAAATAATCCAGTGTTGGCTGTCTCATGTGTGGAAATAATCCAGTGTCAACTGTTTTATGTTTGGAAATAATTCTGTGATGACTGTCTTATGTGTGGAAATAATCCTGTGTTGACTGTCTCATATGTGGAAACAATTATGTTTGTCTCATCTCGGGAAAATAATCAGTGTTGGCTGTCTCATGCGTGGAAATAATTCAGTGTTAGCTGTTTTATCTCTGAAAATAATCCAGTCTTGATTGTCTCATGTGTGGAAATAATCCTGTGTTTACTGTCTTATGTGTGCAAATAATCCATTGTTGATTGTCTGATGGGTGGAAATAATTCCATTTGAACTGTTTCATGTCTGGCAAAAATCCTATGTTGATTTTTTCTTGTATGCTTATAATCCCACATTGACTATCTTATGTGCAGAAGTAATCCCTTGATGACTTTCTCATGTGTGGAAATAATCCAACATTGACTGTCTCATGTGTGGAAATAATGACATGTTGACTGTCTCATGTGTGGAAATAATCCATGTTTACTGTCTCATGTGTGGAAATAATCCCACATTAACTGTCCTATGTATGGAAATAATCCCACATTGACTGTCTCATGTGTGGAAAAAATTCCACATTAACTGTCTCATGTATGGAAATAATTTCACATTAACTGTCTCATGTGTGGAAATAATCCCACATTAACTGTCTCATGTATGGAAGTAAACATACATTAATTGTCTCATGTGTGGAAATAATCCCTCATTAACTGTCTCATGTATGGAAATAATTCCACATTAACTGTCTTATGTATGGAAATAATCCTACATTAACTGTCTCATGTATGGAAATAATCCCACATTGACTTCTCTTATGCAGGTTTTGTTCGCTTCCTGGAGGGATACTACATGATTCTGATCACAAAAAGAAAGAAAGCGGCAATGATTGGTCCACACACAATTTACAAGATTGAAGACACATCCATGGTGTACATCCCCAATGATACAGTGCGCTACGTACACCCAGATGAGAGCAGGTGACCACACAGTACATACACGTACACAGTCATTTAGTCATTCTGGATACGTTTGTGTGGTATAAATAACACTACACATGTGCAGAAATGTCAAATGTGGCATAGACACTCTCAAGAGTTAAAGTTGTATTTGTGTACAGTAATGATCTGTGACATTGTTTGTTTTTCATCCATTCAGAAATAACAATGGTCTGATTTGTTTTATTCACAGTTTTCAGGCCTGGCTCGCTAGTGTAGTTGGCTAAACCTGACTTCAACGAGTGACCGGGTGAGGAACTCCTTGTGGTGCGGGTTTCACGCCCAGGTGTAGGCAGAAAACTCCAGATTTAATCGTACCTATACTGGAATCCAGCGGCCGAAGGGTTGCGATATCCATAGTACCGAGCCAAAGGGTTAAGAACTCATGGTTTCTGGATATATTTTTCACTTATGACACACTGTAATTGTAATTTACAGTGTATGTGTGTCATTGTCACACTATAATTATAATTTTATTTTACAGTGTGTGTGTCACTGGTCACACTATATTATAATTTTACAGTGTGTGTATGTGTGTGTGGTACCGGTCACGCTATAGTTGTAATTTACAGTGTGTGTGTCACTGTTATAATTATTATTACTGTATTATTATATATTATAATTTCACAGTTTGTGTGTCTGTGTGTCACTGTCACACTATAAGTTATAATTTTCACCGTGTGTGTGTCACTGCTACGCCACTATAGTTTATAACCCCGTTGTGTGTGTCACTGTCACACTATAGTTATAATTTTTACGGTGTGTGTGTCCTGTCACACTATAGTTTAATTTTAAAAGTTGGGGTTGTTTACTGGCACAAAAAGTTTAATTTTTTTCCGGGGGGGTGTGTGTCACTGTTTTTTATTAAATTTTTTTTACTGTTAAATTTTATATATAAAAATTTACCCGTTTGGTGTGGTGTCCCACAAAAATATAGTTAAATTTTTCCGTGTGGGTGTTATGTCACACTATAAATTTTAATTTCACAGTGTGTTGTCACTGGGGGGGCACTAAGTTTTTAATTTTCGTGGTGTGTTTTGTTACTCACACTAAAAATTTAATTTTACAGTGTGGGGTTTTTCACTGTCAAAAAACCATAGTTATAATTTTTCCAGTGTGTGTTTACTGTCACCTATAGTTTTTTTTTAAATTTACAGGTGTGTTGTCACTGTTTTTAATTTTTAGTTAAAATTCTTTTAAATTTGTTTTTGTGCTGTGTGTCACTGTTAATTTTTAGTTATTTTTTTTTACCTGGTTTTCATTAATAAAATTTTTTAATTTTTTA